CAATTTAAAAAATGTTTTTAAATCAAGTGATAAATCTTTGGAACTATCTGGCCAAGAATTAGAACAGAATGTTTTAACTTTTGACAAAATTTCATCAGAATCAATTTCTTTGCGAAATAAATCTTTTTTTTCATCTGACATAGGTATGTCATTTGACAGAGAATGAATTATGTATTCCATCTCTGGATCATCATCAACATAGTCTTTAATGTAAGCACGAGATAACACATCTGCAACTAACATATGTTTACCAGGTAAATATGTAACTTTTATATTGTATTTTAATAATCTTAGGAGCATTCTCTGTAAACGTACACTAATTTTCTCTAAATCTTTCAAGAAAATGGGTATAAGAGGCTTATGATCACTTTGAATTGTTATTTCGTAGCCATAAACAAAATAGTGAAACTTTTCAACAGAAAATACTATAGCTAATAACTCTTTTTCAATTTGTGCCCATTTTTTCTCAGAGTTGGTGAGAGATCTAGATGCAAAACTAATGGGGTGTCCAGATTGAATCAAACAAGCACCTAAGCCTTCACTACTGGCATCACATTGAATTACAATTGGTAATTTGGGATCAAATATTTTGAGTAATGGTGGTTTAGAGATTATGGATTTGAGTAAATCTAACTCCTTTTGATGATCAGAGGTCCAGGAAAATTGTACATTTTTTTTCGTGAGACCTCTCAGTTTTTCTGTTAAATCCGACAAATCTGGAATGAAGTTTGAAAAGAACTTCAATAAACCCAAGATTCTTAAAACTTCTGATCGATTTTTTGGTGGTTCAATAGCTAACAAAGCTTGAATATTCTTCCTATCAGGTTTGACACCTTCAGAAGAAATAATTTGGCCCATAAAAACTACTTCATTCAGTTTGTACTGCAATTTTTTAAAATTAAATTTCAAGTTGTTCCTCAATGCACGGTTTACAACTTCTGTCAAAGCTTTATCATGTGATTCTTCATCAATACCAGAAATTATAAGATCATCAAAATACAGATCAACTCCAGGAATATCTCCAAAAATTTCATAATTCTTTCTTTGAAAAATTTCAGGGGCACTAGATATTCCAAATGGGACTCTATTAAACCTATACCGTCCAAAAGGGGTATTAAATGTACAAAGATCAGCACTTTGACTGTCCAACTCAAGTTGCCAAAATCCATCTTTCATATCGATTACAGTAAATATACATTTTCCAGATAATCTACTTATGATGTTATTGCTAGTGGGAATCAAAAAATGTTCTCTACGAATATACTGATTCAATGGTTTTGGGTCAATGCATATTCTAAGGCTCTTATCGGGTTTCTCAACTAACAAAAGATTATGTACCCAACTAGTGGGATAATCAACCTTCTGAATTACATTTTTAGCTTCCAAATTATCTAAAGTTTCTTTGAGTTTATCATGTAGTGAAAAAGGGACTCTTCTTTGATATTGTATGACTGGTTTTGAATTTTCTGCTAATTGAATGGAACAAACTCCAGGAATTTTACCTAGACCATCAAAAACTTCTCTATAATGATTATAAAAACTTTCCTTGGTTTTCAGAGGTGTTTCAACAGAATCAATTCTACAAATTAAATTGAAGTTCATGCAATCTTGAAGACCTAGCAATGCTTCTGTTTGAAAATCAACAATTAAGAATTTTACATTTTTTGTTATATAATGGTAGTTACACACTAAAGATACTTCTCCTATAGGTTTAAATCTAAAATTTCCATAAGAAATTAGCGTTACTGGAGTATTTTTAACATGACCATTGTAATCTAATTTTCTGAAAATATAATTTGGTAATACATTGCAATCTGAACCTGAATCAAGTTTAAATTTAACCAGTTTACCTTCTACCAAAATATTTTCAAACCATGATTTGCTTGCACCTTGATTACATTCATTAATGTATAATTGGATACTGGAATTTGAATCATTCTCATGGGCTTCTTCTAAACTTCTAACTTGCTTTTCTTCATTCCCTTGCATATTCACATCTTTCTCATCTTCTTTATCATGTGGTTTTCTGTTATGTGTGAATTTTTTTCTGTCTTCTAATACATTATGGGGATCTTCATTTTCATCTTGTGTATTCTTCATTTTGAAACACGCTTTTGCAAAATGTCCTATACCTTGGCAAGATGCACAAGTTTTTCTGAATGCTGGGCATCTTCTTGGTGCATGTTCATACAAACATCTTGAGCATATTGATTGTTGAAATGATTTTCCATCTCTTCTCAGAGCATTCACCTCTTCTTCTGGATTAAGAGTTTTTAAATGTTGTTTACTCAGAGCAATTGACTTACAGTAATCCAAGATTTTTGCAATTGTTATGTCTGGCTCTCTAATAAGTCTGGCTTGTATTTGCTTATCATTTATACCTAAGATCAACCTATCTCGTATCATACGTTCCTCGTAACTTGTATTGCATTCTACGTTTGCACATGTAAAATTGCATAATCTTGCTTGTGTTTTAAGCTCGGTTAAATACTGTTCGATTGTCTGCATATCTGATTGTACAAGATTATTAAACTTGAATGTCTCCATTGGTATGACCTTCTTTGGTATAAAATGCTCATCGAATGCTGTCAACACATCCTCTAATGACTTTGCTTGTTCTGATGGGATTGTATTAAAGATATCAAGGCCTTCATCACCTACTGAGTTCAGAAAAATTGCAATTTTTATATCTTCGTCCACATTTTTCTTGTTCGCTGCTCTCAAGTATATATCGAATTTTTGCTTCCATAGTGACCAGTTTTTCTGATCGTATTCTGTTAACGGATTTGGTGGTCTGAATGCCTCCATTTTATAATTTACCTCTGCCGGGTATGAGAAATTCTAGGTCTCCTTATTCTTGATTTTCTGCGTTGTGAGCTAACTAGCTGCTCTGGTCAACACAACTGACACCATGTTATATTTGCGGGTTCTTATAATTCATAAACACATCTTTTCAACTTGGATGTTTAATGATAAAATCTTATGTTAAAAATACATACGTCGTACATGTTAAGTTGTCGAGCGGAAAGTGACGAAAGTGGCAAGTGCCGTCGCTGTCATTGTCAATCGTAATTATACACAGAACATAGACCAATACATAATACAAATAATGACATAGAACTCAGTACATAATCACATGATACAACATAATGAAAGAGTGAACCCTAATTAACATCATGTGTAATGTAGTCAATTGGTATTAATATAGGTATATGGAGAAAAAAGCAGGGTGAATGCAATAAGACTGCAGCTTTTGTGGATTTTATATTATGAAAACTTATTAAATTATAATAAAAAACCATTTCATTTCATATTTTCCCTTTTCTCTAGCTAACCTGAGACCAGATTGGCGGAAGCAGGCTGCTACATATCTTTCGAACTCCACGTCCGTCACAGCAAACCTTTTTCTGACAGCACCTGAAAAAATTTTGAGATTTATTTGATCCACTCACCCACTCACCTTTTTCATATTCGTAGTTGTCATTATTAACTTTTAACAAAAGCACTACCACCATCACGCAATATCAATGGACGCTAAAAATGGCTTCACCGGAATTAGAGCAACAGAAGAAAGAATGGCTTCGTCTTTGTGTTCACCCACTCTCTTCTCGGACTGGACAGTCGGAGCAAGTCGGAGCCGGCCGTGCTTGGTTCGGACTGTCATATGCCGATGTTGCCAGAGTAACCACCCATCTTCATTGGTCACACTCAAGCATGTGATTCATTATAGCCAATAAAACGGAATCATGAACCTGGCAACGTCGAATATGATGTATTTCAAACAAATAGTAAACACATGTATTGAAACATTCCAGAGATGTTTCACGTCACGCATAACATTTGAGAAATATTTCACATACGTAAACATATGGCGATGTTTCAGATGACACGTCTAGAGATTCACGTGAGACATTTCAAGTAGAGAATTTTTGTAACGAATATGAAACGTATGTAGTGACATATTTCTGAAATATTTCACATAGCATGGAGAGCTTCAGAAATTTTTCCTTTATGTTAAAATTGAAATGTTTCAGATGACGCGTCTACAGATTCACGTGAGACATTTCAAGTAGAGATTTTTTGTAACGAATGTGAAACGTATATGTATTGACATGTTTCTGAAATATTTCACATAGCATGGAGAGCTTCAGAAATGTTTTCTTCATGTTAACATTGGAATGTTTCAGATGACACATCTAGAGATTCACGTGAGACATTCCAAGCAAAGAGTTTTTGTAACGAATATGAGACGTATGTATTGACATATTTCTGAAATATTTCTGAATTCTGAAATATTTCACATAGCATGGAGAACTCCAGAAATGTTTCCTTTATGTTAACATTGGAATGTTTCAGATGATACGTATTAGGGAACTTTTGAAATGTTTCTGAAACGTGTTGTGTTTACTGGGATGCTTTCGAATTCAACGCCTTTTCAGGCCAAAAAAAGTTTGAATTGAAAAGGAATATTCTCAGATAATTTATATATGAAGAAATACATTGAGAATTTGCATTTTCTATGTGATAAAAATATCAATTTTTTCTCGGATTATTAAAAAAAACAACTATTTTCCTGGCTATATGTCACGACTGAGATGTTTATAATTCCTAGGAATTATAAACATCTCAGTCACGACCCTGAACCACGACTGAGACGATCCACGAGACGATCATTGAATGTGACATTTTCAGTAAACTTGATTTCGCGCCAATTAAAGGTATTGGCTATTATTCGGCTTTACTATCATGTGAGAACATTCGAAAATACCGACAAAATTAATGATTTGAATTCACCGCTATTGCCCAAATCGCTTTGATTGGTCTCAATGGCTACAATTTGTGCAACCGGGCGTGCACACCATTCTGGCTTCTGGCTGAGAGCATAGTGGAAGGCTTCCACTATGGCTGAGAGCCATTGAAAATTGGAAGTGAGAAAGCGAGAAGATGAATTTTGATCAGTTTATATCAACTGTCAGTCTGTCAATTAAGTCAATTTACGCGCCAAAACACTTTGGGTTGTTTAATAAAGTTTACGCTTTCTCGATTTTTTAGTTTTTCCAGTTTATCCTGTTTATAATGGATATTTCACAAATGAATAACATATATGAAGAATTAAAAGCCCTTCAAGAAGAGTTTAAGTGTTGTATATGCAACAAACGTTGCCAGGATCCTGTGAGGGTGAAAGTGTGTGGTCACTATTTCTGTCATCAGTGTTTGTATCTTAAGAAAGGTCTTTATTCTTGCCCAGAATGTAATATGTACTATGAGGATAGAGACACTGAAACTAATAACATTGTACGCACAACACATAACATATTGGCAGATCTTGAAGTATGTTTGAAGAACATAATTGATAATAACCATTCTAGGAGCCATTTTACTATAATTGATATTGAAAACCATTCTGATGGGGAGACTAGAGTAGTAGATAAGATAAATATTCCAGAATACAATATAGACACACCAGAAGGTGATATTTTGGCACATAACAACAAAAAGTATAAAATTATATTCATTGAAGGACTAGAAAAAGTCAATGCCAAAGGTGAAACACCTTTGCATATTGCTTGTAAGAAAAAGAAACAAAAAAATAGAGAATTTATCGAATTACTGGAAAAGGGAGTAGACATTAATGCTCAGGATTTTGCTGGTTGGACGCCACTGGTAAATGATTTTTATTGTTTATACTATATAGTTAGACTAATTCCAAGGATTATATATGACTACACATACATTCCCTACATATCCAACTGGGTTTGGATGGTATATATTATCATCTTATGTAATTGGAATGTCTCTAGTAAAAGTTTTTTCTAGCATGAAGCTGTTGAAAGTGGAAACATGGAAAATATAGAATATTTGTTGAATCATGGAGCACTGATAAATACCCCAGGAGAAGACTATACAACTCCATTGCACAAAGCAGCAGTATCACAAAACATTGATATAATAAAGTTATTGTTGGAGCATGGTGCAGACCAGGAATTAATAGACCTTCATGGCAAGAAACCAGTTGAATGTACAATGGATGAGGATATTCAGAAAATATTTATCAACCCTCCATCTTGTTTAGAGAGGGTAGAACACTTGTTCTGTAATAAGAAAATAGTTCCATTTTGCTACTACATTGAAAATGAATATGAAAATAAGCTGAAACAGTTGAATATCAAAATTCAAAATACATATGATAAAAAAGTGACACACTTTATATTGAGAAGAACACACAAATTATCACTCAAGATTTTAATTGCATTATTAGATGGATGCACAATTGTACCTCAGGAATGGATAGATCAGTTTCTCAAAAATGACCATTTTATCCCAATTCCACATTACTCAATAATTTTTAACAAAAAATTGAATGAAGGCATCCAAAAAGCATTGATCTTCAAGTTATTGAAGCTACCTAAACTCTTTGACCAACTGAATTTCTACATATATGGCCATAAAAGTGTTATTTTACTTTACAATGTGAAGTTCAATAAGGATTCATTGGGTAACCTGATCAAATCTGGTGGAGGAAAACTTCTACACAGAGCACCTACCCCAGGTACCTGTGACTCAGTTGTCAAGTACCCTTTTCATGCTAGGAATACTACTGCTTCCAAGTGCTGTAACTACATAATTTTTGATGAAAATAGCCCCCCAGAGCTAAGGTATCAAATGCCAGAGATAAAACACAGATCTTCAAAGTGGCTTGTTAACTGTATTATAAGTTACACACTATTAGACTCACCTAATGTAGTTTGAATACATTGAGAAAGTTAAACTTTCCATATCAAATCAATTCCTGAGTTTTGTTTATTTTTTTGTTCACTATAAGATTATAATTTATCCATCAATACATATTACATCCATAAAATATGCATGTATTTTTTGTATCTAATCAAGTCCGTTTCTGGCCAATAGAATTATTTCATCTCAAATAGTTTCAGAAATGATAATAAAAAAACATTTTTAGAAAAGCCTCTTCAAAAGGCTGTAGCTCCCTTATAAGCCATATTTCAACTAAAAACAATTTCATATTTTTTTCTTATGTTTGCTTATGGCACCGATTGTCATTGACAATGTTTCTCCTATATACCGGGTGTTTCTCAAAAGGAGCTCACCCCTATAACTTTGTTGATTTTATAAGTAAACAAATGAAATTCCGTGTGTAAGTATTCCCGAGATTCACGAAGTGGGCGACATCTAGGTTACATAATACGAACTTCAAACTGGGGGAAAACAAACTGTTGTCTATGGATAAAGTTCATAGACTACATTGCATTCAGTTTGCTGTAGCTGTAGTCAAACTTGTCAATGACATCAAGTGTTGGCACTATTGGTAGTGATGATGGTTGAGTTGGTTAATTTTTTTAAATATTACATTTTTATTAGTTTAGTGAACAGTGAACGGGTGAAGAATTACAGATAGTTCAAACAATTCAAACTAATTATGAGGAGCAAATCAATTGACATATAAAAGAACAGCTACAACATGTTCACAATATCCAGATTGTCCTGCTTTGCATGAACAAATACAAATTCATTGTTCTACAGGAGTTCCTCTGGACCCCAACTTCAATTTTACTTCATGTGCAAAAATGTGCCTTTTGTTGAAGTCTTCTGCCTCACACAAAATCACATGATTAGCTCTGAGAACTGCACGCCGAATTTCATTTGTTTTTCTATATAAACTAAAAATGTATAGGGGTGAGCAACTTTTGAGAAACACCCGGTATTTTATGGAGTTATCAAATGTTAAATGTGAATTTCAAGATATATCCTTGCCAGGTCATTGCACTTTTCAGGAGCTCTTGGTCTCCCTATACCATAATGACAACATGAAGAATTGATAAATTAGTTATTTTTGTATCTAGAGCGTGAAATGCTACTTTGGTGATCGAGATCTGATTTTTTCAACGAGGCGTAGCCCAGTTGAAAAAAAGGTCGAGATGACCAAAGTATTTCGCTCTCGAGTTGCAAACAACATGTTTTTTACAAACGTCAAAAAATATAGTTCTAAAGTAAAAATATGCTCAGCTTGATATAAAAAATAGTGTTGAACTGGCTTAAAAGACCTCTCCCTATCCTCCCTAGGTACGCACGATGTTCCACGAACATAATAGAAATTTCCTTTCGTGCGCTCCAAGAGATAAAACAAAGTTATTGTTGAACATTCAGAAATATATGATTTCGTTGATGTTTGCTGGATTGAGGACCATAGAGTTGAAATATAAATATCTCATATATTTCACATAACAATGCACCAAGTAGGTACTTCGCGCACTGTTTTACTTCGCACATTGTTTTGTGCAAGGTATCATGGTAACGTAGGAAACTGGAAAAGAGTGTCACTTCGCAATTTGTTATCAATGCGTTTTTAGAAAAAAAGTTATTTTTCTGTACTCCGCATTGGCTCTGGTGGAAAAGATGAATAGAAATCATCATAACTAAAAAAATATATTAAAACTTACGACCTACTTGATTGGTGTACATTCAACTTCTATAAAAGAAAAACACTTAAAATAAGTATCAACATGAAGAATTGAAGATCTACTAGCACAATTTGAGAATTTGCTCAACTGTTTCACTCAGAGCCTGCATTCCAAATTTTTCAGCTAGGGACAAGAATGTTTGTAAAAGTTTAATCAAATCTGTCCTCGATTGTAAACACTTGAAATCTGAAGAACAATGGCAGTGTTTTATCAGGTTCTCCAACTTAATCTAAAACAGAACAAAAATGTTTAATACAAAATCATAAAAAAATTTAGGTATTTTGAATTTTTGGATCGAAAAAGTTCGTGAAAGATATTTTCGGAAAATACTCAAAAACAACCTGTTTCACCAATAAAAGCTTCAAATGTAATACCATGTAATACTAATAAATGAACCTACCTTGACTTACAATTCAAGGCGGTTATCTATCATTAAAAATTATGAACAAATATAAAAAGCTTTAACCAATTTCGGATCGTTAACTGGAAAATTAGCTTTATTTCTACATAAACATAGCTTGTGAATTGCTTGTATAAAACAAATAACATGTCCGGATGGCTTATCAAGAATAATTAAGGAACAACTTTTACAGGGTGTCCCACGACGATTAGGACGAAATATCTCGGAACTGGAGAGTAGTAGAAAATTGTAATTTGGAGGTTGCGAATCTGAGCAATTGGTGCAGCTTTTTCTGATATTTTTTTACCCAATGAGCTTCCTGTTTCCGGTTACGTGACAGATTCAAAATTTCAAATGGAACAACCTGTATATTTTAGCGTGTCTATGTTCGTCCTGATGAAACGATAACAGCAAACTGTCACCGTTGTGGCCTGAAACGAGATTAATAGGCCTTTTCATATAGATATATTTTCAAGATGCATGCGCTCGTTTTTAGATCCAAAATTTGATTGGGTAATGCGAAGGTGGCGAATATGGCGGTTTTTATTGACGTTCTGTCAAATGTCAACAGTGTCAACCACAATGGGCATTCGTCATTGAGAAACAACAATAACAATATAAAATCATAGAAATCATCCATTTTTCTCAAAGTGGTCCAATTGATTTTAAAGATTTTTTTTTTTTTTTTTTTTCTTTAATAACAATATAGTATTTTCGTTTCCATATTCCTGGTGTGTATTAATTGTATTATATTAAGTTAAATCGAAGAAACGTTACTTATTCGTTACTGAGGAGTGTGGTGCAAGTGTTTCAGTGAAAATGGCCGCCACTGTCGTTGGATGCCAGATGTAAGCACAGATAGTCATTTGTCATCTTGATGAAGAGGCCTTAAGAACAACAGGTATTTCAAACGATACATATTTGGGCAGTCCCATATTTTTTGTGATAATTAAAACAATAATCATTCATATTTTATAAAAAAACGTACCTATTTCAGAAAATTTTGGGACAGAGGATGGATATTTGAGTACATGTAGTTCTTAATCATTTTAGTCCAAGAGTGAAGTTTGTTGGAATCGGTTCATCAGGAGGAACCTCGGGAGGAACATAGGAATACCAAAATTAAATCTGATGTTACGGTAGCCGATAACAAAAAGCTCATTGGGTAAAAAAAATCCAGAAAAAACTTCACCAATTGCTTCAATTTACAAGCCCAAGATTGACATATTCTACTATTCATCAGCGTGGGGCACCCGGTATGTTCAGCGTGTCTCACTTCAAACGGCCTCACCTCTATATCTCAGATATTAGCCGTGCGATTCCTGCCTTTGGACCTCCATCAACATGATCAATTTTTCAGAAAGGACATAATTTTAGACAGTGCCGTGCGTTTTTGACCAAATGAAAAGGGGTTAACTTTTTATGAAATCATATTAGAATTTTTTTACAAGAAAACCACATATCATTATTCTTCATGGTTTCAAACCCCCATATGTAAATTTGCAGATCTAAACAGCATTTTTGCAAAGGTAAATAATAATTATTAACTTACTACTTACTACTGAGTTCAACAAACAGAATGGGAGTATTGAAAAAGAATATTGTCAGATATATTATGAACATGAAAAAAAAAATTGACACAAAGAAATACATTGAGGATTCGCATCTCTATCTAATGGAAAACGACTTTCCTGGCTATATGCCATGAAGAACATTGAATTACATATTTTGAAAATACACAATATGAATTTGAAAATGAAAATTTTTTACAATTGAGAATTGACAGTAACTTTCAAGTAGGATAAATAATATGATGTAAAATTTATAACTTACCAATATATTTAGTATTGAAATGTAAATTAAAATGTATAGGATGATCATGATGTGCTTGAAGCTTTAAAAAATCAGTCGTATGATTGATGTTGGGGATACAAAATGATGAATGGCTGAAAGAATAACTGGACTTCAGGTTACTAAGGAGGGTTTGATACCTGAAATGAGTTCATTCAAACAAAGTCATATAACCTGTTTGTGAAAGATGTACCCCAAACATCAATGATATCAATGATATTTGGAAGTTTCAAGCTCATCAAGATCATCGTTTATACAAGTAGGCATACTTCTGCTATACATTTTAATTTTCATTTCAATACTGAATATTGGTAAGTTATATATTTATATCATTTTACGTCATATTATTCATAGGATGAAATTCCTATGAAAAATTTGTAAAAATAAATTTGAAGAAATTCATCATACAACTAAGAACAGAATTTGTTAAGGAGGGTACATTACCAAAAAAGTTTGAATTCATATGTCTTGCTTCACTAAAACTATCAACTAACCTGTGAACATTTTTTGCACTGCAAATCCTGCAAATTATATGCCAAAAACTTCCTACTGATGATATCCAGTAATATACATTCGATTTCTGCACCATCATAAGGTGTGTTGCACAAAGGACATAGCCAAGCTGTTTCAGAACGATATTGGTCTCTACCCAAATCAATGTCTCTACAGTGATTACAAGCCTTACATATAATTTGAGGAATAATATACGAAACTGTTTGATCTCTGAAGACAGCTTTTTCGGAAAATTCACCAACACCTAGAAGAATAAGTGGTTTTTGATCGTGGACTGGGAAAATATTCAGCTTTTTTACCGATTAAGCGAAGTAGATTGCTTTTCAATGTATCTACAGAATCTTTCACTGCCGGTTCGAGAGCCAAAATGTAACATATAGTTTTAACAAATTCCAAAGCTGCACTGGTGCCATCAGGCAATGGTGGTAACCGATTGTCAATTTTCTCAGTCATCCTGAAACAAACTCAAAAATTTTACCAATCAGGCTACTGGACGGATAGTGAATAATTGGCATTCAATTACTCCACTGTGACGTTAGGGACCAAAATCAATTTTTAGAACACTTCGCACGCGTTTTCTATGTAAACAATGTGTCTATCTGTTGTTCGAAATTGTTGAATGCCAGAGCTCATTTCAAACGTGCCGCAAAGGCCGCCATTTGGCCATGTTCTGGGATACGTCGAATAAATGGTGACTTCAACTGTTTCCTTATTGGTCAGATAATCTTTCATTTAATAATAATAATAATAATATGTCTTTATTCATCATCATTTCACAACTGGTAGAGAAAGAAACAAATAGATGAAAGGGCGGGGTTCAGCTAAGAAGCTGCCTTTAAACCCAACCGGTATTTCCACTCATGAAGCAAGATTGTCAAGTCATCAATTAGAATAAAGTTATTAAGAAGGTGTTAGAGTCCTGTGGTTGAATAAAACTACATCCAAGTTAAATATTACATTTGACCTGATAGGAGGAAGCCATGATGTTATAGTAAGTCATTCATGACTTTTTCGAACAACCAGCTTGTTGAAATATTTCTTATACTGCATAACAAAACATCATGAAAATGTTGGCTGGGGACTTGGCAATGCTTTGCTGAATGCTGAGCATTGACAAGACAACGCCCACAATCCTGTGTTGTCACGTTTACCGTACCAAAGGTCCTCTAGTGCAAATTGAAAGGAATTAATATAATTATTATTAACAAAAATTCATCATTAGCAATAAACCAAAACACAGATAAGAGGGAACATTTCAAGACGATGGATTTTTTATAGTTAATTAAGAATATCACCAATACATTATAAAATGAGCATATTCAGAAAGTACCATTCTAATTGGCCCCTGAGATGCGCAAACGATAAACAGAGATGTTCAGTGTGCGACAAAGATCCACTACGCCCTTTTAATGGAAAGTACAATCGTACTGTACTGTTCTAACGGATGTTCATTGAACAGTTCCTCGACAATAATGAGCTCTCGCCCCACTTCGTCGACTAGTCTACTGCGCATCCAATTCTCAGAGGCCAAGCTAGAATGGTCAACCTGTTTAAGCAAGGTTTATAATTTATTTATAAATTATTAATATTCTCACAATTAATGAAACGTTGAAAGCTACTCGAGAACCACTTTGATCAGGTACAATTTTGTTTGATGTAGTGATTGAGACTGTTGAGGCATAAAATTATTGATTTATTTGCATTTTATCAACAGTACCTTCAAAGATCATTGAACAAATTGCAAGTATGGTATGCAAGTTTTGATTGAATGAATGTATTCTCTATTTAGGTATATTACTACTGAAAAGTTCACTACTCCATAACAAATGTCTCTTGATCACAGCAAATATTGCACTGGGAAAATCAGAAATTGCAGTTCACATGTCTTTTGGCGCAAATACTGTCTATTAGTCCTATTTAGCGTATCATTTCATATATTATTCATTT